CTACAGATTGCCATTTACTGCTCCTGACAGTATTTCTCATGGAAATCAAATGTAGACCATCTGCTGGATTATAAAATGAGGCAATAGGGGGCTGGCCTGGTGGCATAGCGGTTAAATTCACGTGCTCCGCTTCAGCGGCTGGGGGTTCGCAGGTTCGGATCCTGGGCACAGACCAACGCACTGCTTGTCAAGCCATGCTGTGGCGGCGTCCCATATAAAGTAGAGGAAGATGGGCATGGATGTCAGCCTAGGGCCAATCTTCCTCAACAAGAAGAGGAGGATTGGCAATGGGTGTTAGGTCAGGGCTAATCTTCCTCACCAAAAAAAAAAGGGGGGGGGCAATAAAAATGAAAATTTGTAAATATTAAGTACTTGAGAAAAAATGAAAATATCTAGATAATATCATTGATTTTATTTAAAGTTTTCTGTTTAACATGAGAAACCAACCAAACAAAAAGTAAACAAAAGATGTCGATGTATGTAGGCCATGAGTGGAGAAGCCAGGGACAATTCAGAATCGCCTCTCTTGTATTCTTAATTGGTTGCAAATACTACTTTTCAGACAGTAACACTTTCAGCAAAATGGAAGAGTTTTGTTTGTTTTGTGTTTTTTTTTGGCTCTCCAGGCGCACTGTTTGTCCAGACCAGTGTCTCTTTCGATCTTGGTAAATTGTCCATTTTTAAAAATATTTGGACAGTTTAAATAATTCACAATCCAGAATTGAAACCTCCAGAAGATTGCTTTTGCTGTTCTGTTCTAAAATAAATGAAGCAGTTCCTTCGCACTTGTGGAGAGAAGTTCAGGCCTCTTTTCTACCCCAGGTTTCTAGCCTCTTCTAAGTTTTTTTATAGTATTACTGTTTTGGGAGTGAAGCAGCAATTCCCCTTGCCCTTTTTCCCCTTATCCAAGTAAAGACTATGATGGTCTTTTTTTTTTTTCTTTCTGGAAGATTGGCCGATTTTAGGAGCACACTATAATATGTTCTGTCAGCAATTGTTGGTCACCAAAAGGCTTCCTGTGCCACTTGCCCAGCTTTCCCAGCTCCTCGGTTTTCTCATTGTTGTATATTTTTAAATATATTTCTAGTTTTGTTTTATTTTTGAGTGCTTTAAGAAAAATATTCTTTTGAAAGAATATTGGTCTAGATATAGCCAGTTGACAATCCATCAAATGAGAATATTTACGCTTGGCAGGTAAAGCAGATGGAAATGTGTCTTTGCCCTAGCAATCACTTAAACATGTCAAAGTTTATACAGGGTTTAACCAGATGGAATGGCTGATATTCAACTATTTTTAACTTACGAAATGGCAATTTTATCTCATTCAACCTAAGAGCTTATAGATATCAAGGCCCAAACAGCACTGTTAAGATTCTCTAAAAAGGAGAAATGGAGGTAGTTTCCGTTCTGTCAGAAGGAAGAGAGTTGTAGAGCTGTTCTTGTGTAAATATAATTATTTGATGGAGGCAATGTGTTTTTTTTTGTACTTGCCTCATGGCCTTGCCTTTCGACTTTAGTTTGTTCGTGTCCCAATCCCACCAGTGGGACATGGACCTGGTAACATGCATTTCTATCCTGAGTCCCACTGGAACTTTTGCTCCCGTTCCTTTTTTCCTTCCCTCCAACACTTCAAATATGTGTAAGGATAGCCACCATTATTCTTATTTTTTATTATGAGAGGAGTAAGATAATAGGAACTAATTAATCGTGTATGTCCTGGGGCAGACTTCTGGGGAGCCCGCCTCCAGACCCATCCCCTGTCCTGTCGCTCCACTGCTGTTGCTGACTCCTGTCCATTTCCTGTTCCCTCGGTGGGTACTGGTCCTCAGTAAGCTTCTATTGGCAGCTCTTGTTGGAACTGTTGATCACTGCCTAGCAGCTATGCATCATTTTCCTGCTTTAATACACTTAAGGAGGGATTACTTCCTTTCATCTGAATCCTAGACCCCCCAAGGGCTTCAGAAGGGGTCTTCCATACACTGCAGACATCCTTTACAGCGCTGTTGTGAAAAACCTAGACTCAGTCCAGATTCTTTGTCTTGACTCTGCCGCCCCATGACTCTGAACCCTTCTAAGTCACTTGACTCTGGACCTGTATATCTCTAAAATTAGACAGTTAAATATTATAGTCCTATGATTATATGCCTAAAAGTTGCTTAAAGTTGCCCTTTTCTTTTTTTTCCTAAAATCTGAACAGCAGTGTTACACATAATTTATACATAGTTTTTCACAGGGTGGATAGTAACAGCACAAAATATTAGCCTCTATCTCAAGCTGGAGTACTGCGGTTGACTACAAGGAAATTTAAATGCTTGATCCTCACCCGGATCAGCTGCCTGAAGTCCTTTTAGTGCACCGTTTCTGATAGAGCGTGCAAGTGTGACTATAAATTTCCCCTGACAGAAACCACATCACCTCATCAGCTTCATAAGAAAATGACAAAACAACCAACTGTGAAAGCGTGCTTGCCAAGCTTTCAGCATCACTGCTTTGGGGGGAAACACATTTGTATAAATGAAATCGAGGCTGGATGAAGCCCAGAACACAAGCTCTGGTGTACCTGTCTTCTCCAGGCAGCAACGTACGGGAAGTGTGTTTGTGCTGGTGAGGCCAGGATTCCAGAAAACCCTTTGCTTCTTGAAGCCACATCACCAGTCCAGGGCTGGAGAGAGGGTACAAGGGGATGGGGCATCCTGCTTTCTTAGTAATTACCAGCTCTCTAACAACTGATAATAGTAGCCTAGGTCCATTCAGCATTACTTCACTAAATCTTCACAGAAACCTGGTAAGATTTTCTATCACTGTCTGCATTTTTTTCAGTAGAGAATACTCAGGCTCAGAGAAACATAGCTGGTTTAGCTAGTTAGTGGTCAAGCCGAGATTCAAACTGGGTCTGTCTTACCTCAGTGCTCATGGCCTTTCACTTTACCTTGAACCGATTTTAAAGTTGAATGTCAGCAACAAAATTGGAACATTGGTGTGAAAAGGAGGAGAAGAGGTGCTACATCCCACCCACCCCAAGGGTTCTCTGCTTTGGTAGAAAGTGCGCTAGAGTGTGAAAGAAGTGAACTTTTCCCTGACTTCAGTTAACTTTAAAAAAGTCATCAAAGACACCTTGAAGACTATGAAAGGGGAGAATTAACAAGAAAAAGGCAGATACCTAATAAAAAATGGGCAAAAGAGTTGAAGAGACACTTCCCCAAAATGACTAACTGGATAGTCAATGAGCATGTGAAAGGATGCTCAACATCATTAGTCATTAGACAGAGCAAATTTGAACCACAATAGAAATCACTGCATAACCACTAGAAGTGCTAAGATGAAAACAACCACGGTCTCAAGTGTTGGTGAGGATCTGGAGCAACTAGATCTCTCAGTCACTGCCAGTGGGCACGTCAGTTAATAAAACCACTTTGGAAAACCAAATTTGATTTGATAATTTCAAATACAACTGAACACTTGCACACCATATGACTCAGCATTTTTACTTCTAAGAGTGTGCTGACAGAAATCCCTACATATTTTCCTATAGGTAAACCCATATGTATAGGAAAATGTTCATTGCAGCACAATTCCTAATGGCCGAAACTGGAAACTAGCAAGAGACTGAACAAATAAATGGTGGAATGGTCACATAATGGAATACTTTACCGCCATGAGAATGAGCACACTATTGCTATGCCTGACAACATGAATGATCTCACAAATATGAGGCAGTGTTGTGAAGGTAGACACAGAAGAGTTCATGCTGTGTGATACCATTTACATGAATTTCACAAATAGCAAACACTAAGCTATGCTGTTAGAAATCAGGCTAGTAGTGACCTTTGTTAGGGGGTGAGGGAGGGATGGGAAGGGAGCACGTGGTGGGGGGTGCCGGGAATGTTCTATTTCTTGATCTGGGTGATGGTTACAGTGTTTTCAGGTTTGAAAATTCGTTAGGTGGTTCACTTATGTGCATTTTTCTGCATGTATATTTTACTTTAGGACTAGGTTTTTAAAGTACTATATATTCAAATGCTAGTTCTTAATTTTTAACTCTCACTGTGTCAATATAAATTTAAATCAACTGAGAGATTTGCATATGTATAAAATAGGAGTTTTGTGGCATAGTGTGACCTATATTGTGGGAGAAATGTTAATTTTTTCTTGATAATGCTTCATTGGCCTCTCAGTTTGCTGAACCTGACAAGGTGAGGAAGGAAGGAAATAGTGAATTTCATCAACACCAGCAATGATTGCTGCTTAGCATTCATCCACCCAAAGCAACACTGGCTGGTCAGGTTTTCACCACATTTTGGAGTTCTTTCTTGCCTCAGAGTCTATAATAAAACTTATCTTTTTGTTATGATTTTTATACCTCTGAGAAGAGAAGCATAAGGAAAATAACTATGAAATTCCAAGACCTGGCTAAAACAAATTCTGAACCTTTATTCTCTAGAAAACAAGGTGAAAACGTTCAAAGAGAATTCAAAGAGAAGTCCTTTTTTCACACGGGAAGCCTTCATTTGCAGTAGTAGCTGAAAAAAAGGCTGTATGGAATGTTTAAAGAACCTTAGCAGTGGTCTGAGAACCGTTTTACAGAATGTTCAGGTATTATGCAAGTTGAGTTTTCAAGTTCTCGTCTCAACAGAAAAATAATTGAATTCTAGTATAAGAAGGGGGCAAAGGAAGAACAAACTTGCATTTTGAAAAATAAAAATCGTGAAACATCATCTGGCAAAGAGTCTACTATGTTGCCTGAGACAAAATGTTGAGCCTCAAGTCAGTCCTTCCTTTGAGTTCTCATCATCCTGCCTTCTCATTTGACTATTGTGGAGTCTTTTCTGATCTGTTCAAGGTACAGAGTTGGTTGATGGCAAAGCAAGGCACGACCTACCGTCTTTAAACTTCCAATCTCTTTCTCTTTTTACCCCATGATAGACATTCCAAATAATTAATAACAGTCCAAAGATCATAGGTATAATATTAATACATCTCTTATAAAATATGTATTTCAGCTTGCTACCCTTGAATTCCCTCCAAAGAAACTATTTGGAAACAAGGATGAACGCGTGATTGCTGAGAGGCGAAGTCACTTAGAGGTAACAGAAGTAAGCTTTTCTTTCTCTCTGTATTGAAAATTTGCCATCTGATTGACCAGTGAGAATTACTCCTACTGAACTCTATTACTCTTGTTCATGAGTATGAAGGTGCTGCTTCATTAACACAGGAGATGGCAGCAGCAGATTACAAAGTAATAATATCAGTTTATTTAAGATTTAAGTCATTATCCCCCTATGGTCTAACAAAACTTTTTTCTGGATTTTAAGGAGATAGATTTATTCTAAGGGTTAGGAAGCAGGCTGTGAGTGAGAACTAAATATTCGCCATAGACAGATGGTATGTAATACAGGATGAGGGTACAAAGCTTGCTGCAAAAAACTTGAATTAATTAACTAAAGATTTATAGTATTGCATCATTGTTACTTTTTCAAGATAGCAAAAAAGACACATACTTATTTTAGTCATGGTTTAGTTTTGTTAGATTTATTTTAACTCAATCTTCTGAGCCAGCTACATGTAGAACTTTGGTTCAACACAACTGTTGTTTTTCGGACTGCCTCGCTGCCAGTACACAGTGTTGAGTGCTTTATGTAGTTTGTATTTCTTGTCAGGATGGAGTTGCTTGTTTGGTTGGAATTTGATGCTGATGAGGCTGAGTCTGTGCTGAGGCCTGGTCACAGTCCTCGGTTGTTGGCTACTCTCCTGCCCTTGTGAGCCACTGAGGCAGACGGAATAAGATTACAAATAGCTTAATACAATCTCATGTCAGCAGACTTTCAGGGGGCCTCTTAAAGTCCTTTTTGCTGCTTCTTTAAGAGAAATAATAATAATATCTTTTGCAAATGAAATCAAACAAGACAAGGCCTGAGATCCCTTGTGAAGTGCCATGTAAAATTAGGTATCATTCTCATTCCCAGTGACAGCCAGTTTGAGGTCGCTGCCCCACGGGTCCCTGAATGCCAGTGAACTGAGGATTAGGGAAACTTCCAGAGGCTGGAGGTTCCAGTGAGAGCAAAAGGGGAGAAGGAGGAGACATGGAGAAATTGAAGACTAGGAGACTGTGCTCCACGGGGGCATTTTAAACTTGTAAGATCCTCCGTATAGAACTGCTCTGAGGAAACAGTTTTCAGGGTGTGGCCATGCTTACAGGCATTTGGGTTAAACTATAGAGTTTAGACGTTTGAAAAGGTCCTGGAACTATTAAGATGGAGCTTTGGGTGGGTCATTGCAGGCTTCTAAAAATCATCCTGAAAGATGTCATGACCCTAATACCCAGCTGAAGAATGTGCCTTCAAGGGAAAGATTATCGTGGTGAGCCTACTTGATCCAGTTTTCTTAAAAGTTAATTGGATCCTTCAAAAAATTAAAAAATAACCATACAGCTAATGATAGTTTTCTTTACCTAACTCTTACCTGCCTCAGTTATCTAGACTGTCTTTAATGGAAAATAATAGTATATAAAAACGTGCTTATAAACCAACAGAAAATAGACTGTTGTCATCTCTAGCTACTCAGGGCTCTAATTAAATTCACGTGGTGCCCGACTGCGCCGACTCCCGCAACAGATGGGGCATTCTGTGTGCTGTGCGCTTGTGAACAGCTCTCGGTGACTCGTCTTTCCATTCCAGCTTCCAGAGTCAACCAAGTTGAGAGCGCTCGTTCATTCTTGGTATTTGCAGGTGGACCCATGTTTGTTCTTTGAGTATCTCCTCCTTAATCACTTAGCCCTACTAAACCATCAGCTGTTCATGAACAGAGTTCTGTGTCACTGTCTCTACCAATACAAGGATCCCTTCCATTACCTGTGACTGTTATTCACATGTGTTATTAGCTTTTATAGAATGGATTCCATACCTCATGGAAATAGGCACTTATATTTTAAATATATTTCATCAAATGTTGATTGTTAAATCTTTGTTCTTTTCAAGAAGTGAGCATAATTCAACTTTACTTAGATGGAAAATTAATCTGAAGTTCTTGGGTTAATTTCCTGTGACTATTGTGACTTTCTATTTTTTTTTAATCTAACATCACAAGTCATTGTTTGATTTAGTGCATTTTTATATGAAAATTAATATAATTATTTTCCTTGAACTTCCTATTCTATTTAATTTAATTATACCTTTATTTAGTTCCTATTACATGCTGGAGACAGTGCTAGGTGTTAAATAGAATATAAAGAGAAATGAGATATTTCTTTTCCTCTAAAAGCATGTGTTTAAATTCCTATATGAAACTTGACCTAGAGGTATATTAAATACCTAAGCACATCCAGAACGATGGATTCCAGTAGGACACATTTGTTGTACTGGTACACATTAGCATACTTAGTGTTTGCTGAAGGGAATTATCTGATGATTTTTAAAATCCGGAAATGCAACTTTATAAATCTTACCCTTATTGAGCTGTATAAAGCAGTGTTTTAAGCAAGCAATCAATTATGTTTTGATCTTTCTTGCTATTAAAATATTTCCAAGATTTGGATCTTGTGTTTGAGTTTATCAGCAAAAAGTAAAAATGTTTTCACGTTAAAGACATAGATACCACATTGCCACTTTCCAAGTTATATAAGTTAAATCTGTTAAAATAATTGTTTGTCAAAATGATAGGTGGTAACAGAAATTTCTGTCGTGAGATGTTTTGGAGATTTTCTTACCTTGGAGAGAGGAATATTAGTTGTGTGCGGCGGTGGTGGTGGTAGCAGTGTGGGCCCTGGGGGTAGCACTGAACATATTGCACCATAAAAGGAGTGCGTGAGAACATGATGATGGTAAATGGAGGAGTATACATTTGGCGTCCAGTGCTAACTCTTATTGATAAACTTGTATCAGTTCCACCCACACAAAGTTATCAGGCCAACTCTGGTTTATACTTGGAGCCCGTTTTTCCAGAATCTGGCCTGTTATTGCTTTGTATCTCATGCTCAAATGGCCCCCGGCAGTTTTGCTCAGAAAAAGCCACAGACTCTTTGAAGGTTTGTAAGGTGGGCAGATCTCCCTACTGCTGCCGCCGTGGCTCTGCTGGAACCAGGTCAGTATAAGTGCGTGTCGTGGGCAGACCCTGCCATTGGGCAGTCGGAGGATTATAATAGCAGCACTCCCCATGTGTGACATGCGTCTCAGGCTCATATGTCCCTTCTTGTAACCCAGACCGCAGCCCAGGAGACATATGTGGGCAGATAAAGCTTTAGAGTAACAGGGAAAGTATACATTAGTCTCTGCCTGATGAGTTATTTTGAGCAGAAATGTGCTTTTTACTATATTTGAAGCCAGATACCATTACTATTAGGTTGACCCATAAGACACTGCCATTGTTGTAGGTAAAAAATGGTCCAATATTGGCAATTTTGTATGCTTCCACATAATGCTCCTGCTATCTCACGTTTACTAGGTGTTTACTAAGTACTAGGCATGAACAAAATGCTTAATATATCACGTCATTTACTCCTCCCAACCAGTTTGTCTGGTGATTTCAATTATTATCTCCATTTTACAGATGAGAAAATTAAGTCTTAGGGAAAATAAAGAAGGTCATATAGCTAGTAAGTGGCGAAGCCGCAGTTCATACTAGAGTGTCTTTCAGAGCACATGCCCTTCCCTTCATAATCAGCACACTCGATGTTTGCAGTAGAGTTGGGTCTTCCTGTAAAGAAATGTCATTTCTTATGAAGAAACATCATCTTCCAGCATTATCACCCAAATGTTGACTAAGATCCGTTGGCTAATTATTTATCTTAAGTACCATTTTATTCATTCAGCAGTACCTACTCTGTGCCAAGCAGTGTTCTAGAACTGAAGAAACTCTCGAGCAAGATGGCGTTCCTTTTCCTCATCTCTTAACGGACCATGGCAGTAGGGATGGCCTTATTTTTGTTGTTGTTTAAGGAAAGATGTTTATTGTAATGGTTAATTTTTAAAGATTTGCTTCATGGTTCATCAAAGGTTCGGAATCACAACTGCTTGTGGGTTTGTTTATTTTTAAAGATATTAGATGTCACATTTTCCCATGCAGAGTTATTTCCTATCTGAATTACTGAGGAGTATAAACTCAGAATATCTTTAAAGAGATTTTTGTGACTTGAAATATTATGTGTAAGTATTATATAAAAAAATATATATAGTATATAAATATTACATGTACATCCATGAGTTCTAATAAGTAAAATGTGGTATGGTATTTATTAACAACAGGCCTTAAACATCCCGAGTTGAACGCATGGCTCTAGAATATATTGCTTCTCAAACTGCAGTGGTAAAGGACCGGTTATTTACGCTCCGTCATTACTTTTGCAGAATTAAGGAAAATTAATTACTAGAAAAGTGAAATGAAAAAATGAAACGAAAAGGTTATATAAAATACAAGCCCAATTCTTTTTTTTTTTTTTTTTTTTTACTGTATGTAGATTCAACAGACATAAAATCACTCTGTTAAATTGCAATAAGTGTCTAAAATAAGAACCACATTCTGGAAAAGTCCATGAAACCTCACCTCTACTTCTTCTAAGGCTTCTGTCACTTTCTTTCTTGTATCTAAAGATATGTTATTGTCTCAAAACTTCTCTTTTGTACTCGCAAGTTAGAAGGCAGCAGAATTGACATCTAATTGGATTATTAATCTCCCATGATATTTCATACATGTTTCACGTTCATTGCGTTACTCACTGAATTATCAGAAAATCTGCCCCAAATTGGTGAGTTTTTTGTGTTGTTTTTATTGGTTGATGAAAGGTGCATTTTGGGTTACTAATTTCAGAGACATTATCATCTACTTGGAAACATTTCTATAATCATCTTAAAAGTCTGTCATTTCAAGGAGTAACTGTAATTAATGAAAACAAGTGAAATCTTCTAAAACCATAAAGCTTTCAAGAATAATGCAACCACCTTTGGAAATAAGAATCTGAGAAATTTCTAGGAAGTTTTCTTCAAGTACTAGAGCAGGCAGCAGCCCAAGGCCACTTCTTTCTTTCTTCCCTATTTTCATCTCAATAGTTAAAACATCAAGATGGATAAAAATAATGTGGTAGCTAAGAGTGTGG